ATGATAATTCTACTGGTACATAATAATTTCTACATAAACAGTCTCAGGTAAATAAGGTGTAATGGAATATTTTATTTTCATATGTCAACTGCCAGGCCGCGACGCTTATGGCCCGTGACCTGCCCGAAAAGACCTATGGGCCTGTTCATAGAACTGGCCCGGAATCGTCTCGGACGGTTCTGGGCCGGCACGACCCTTAAAAAACCACAAAAAAGAAATGTGACTCGCGGCCCAACCTGGCTCGGCGGGTTAAAACTAAAAGTTTATAAACCAAGACTGAACCGCAATCCTACAGGTCCGGTTCAAGGAACCAGCCCTTAAGAGAACCGTTCTGAGCCGGTTCGGGCTGGGCCGGGACCCGTTCACAAGCCGGTTCGGCCGTAGACACGTCTAGTCACACTCCATGGTCGTGTGGAAATTATGTATATTTGCATACCATGGAGATTAAAATTTTTCAAAATTTCAATTATTATAATATTTAATATTCCTTAATGTTATGGAAAAATAATTTCAACAAAATTTTACATTACAAGAGAACATTTATTTTAATTTAAACTTTTTTTCTAAGTCGTTTTTCCAATTCATCTCATCGACAGTCATGAGTTGGATCTATATCGTTTTAAAAAAAAACAAAAAAAAAAAAAAACAAAAAAAGACTCTCATGAGTTGGAGTTTGGGGAGCTCCAAAACAATCCGTCCCAACCCGGATCCGATCCGAATCGCAGTAGTCCTCTCTTCCCTGAAGTTGGAGGGTCAGGTTCATCGGGCATGTCAACTGTCTGTAAATGCCACTCCTCTTCTCAACTTTATTTCTCACTCACCTTTTAATATTCCGACTCCTCGTCTTTACAAGCTCACCCTGCAACTTAAATGGCGGACTATAAAATTTTGATAAGAAAAAAAGGTAGATCCTTTCAGATTTGCGTGAAGCTGTTGGTCAGATTTATCTAGTGCTTTTCCCCAATTTCATTTTCTTTTATGCTTGTTGAAAGTGAACACTATTTTCGTATTTTGAATCACTCATTGTTTTAGTTTGAAGCACAAAGACAAATGAGTCGTGAGCTTTCAATCGATAGGCTCGACAGCTTGCCAGATGAAGTCATATGCCACATTCTCTCCTTCCTCCCCACAAGGCTCTCTATGTCAACCAGCGTCCTCGCTAAACGATGGAGGTTTTTGTGGGCCCACGTCCCTGTTTGTGATTTCGAAGGAAATTTTAAAAAAGGTTTGGAAACACCAAATCTAGACGTGATATACAGTGTTATTCAGCGGCACAAGGTAAAGACAATTCATAGTCTTCGGCTGAGTATAGGGTGCTATGAGTCTCAACTAAATACATTGATCTCCACTACCTTGGAGCGTAACATCCGGAATCTTCATATCGATCTTGGCGTAAATACTATTGTTTTCTTGCATCGAACTCTCTTCACCTGCAAAACCGTGGTCGAAATGAGGCTCGATAACGGCCTCTGCTTGCCTTCAACTGGGGGCGCATGTTTGCCTAGCCTCAAGAAACTTCATCTTTCTAAAGTTGACTATGAGGATGATAATGCGCTTACGTACTTGCTTTCTGGCTGTCCTTTGCTCCAGGAGTTGATCATCGATCATTCGGCTGATGAAACAGATATGAGATTCTTTCATGTAGTATCATCCACGATAAAAATGCTTGAGGTGAATTGCCAAATTGATTCAGGGTATCCCGTTCATATTTTAACAATTGTGCCTGAACTTAGAAGTCTCCGTGTAGTTGATTGTGATTTTGCAATTCCAATATATATGGCCTCCTTAGTTGAGTTGGACATCCATTTTAAATGTCTTGATTTTGGCTTTGGAAACAATGACAACTCTAATGCGGTACCATTTTTCAATCGTTTGTCCAACATTAGTTGCCTAAAGTTATCGAGCTGTGAATACCTGAAGGTATGTTGTAATTTTTTTGTCATCTCGTTATCCGTTAGAGCGTTTCATCTTGTTCTTGAGTTGATTTTTCTTTTGCAGGTTATTGACAGATTTGGCCTATTTGGTGGTTCAAGCATAAAGTTTAATAATTTAACTAAACTTGAACTCCAATTGGGTGTTGAATGGCATTTGCTCGTGGAGTTTCTTGAAGTTGCTGATAATCTTGAAGTCCTCGTTGTAAGTGGAGTTTGCCAATGCATTGAAATTTCAATTTTTTCTTTAGTTGTTTCTCTTTTCTTACTTCCATAGCTTCCTTCTTTTGTTGTCATCAGGCTGATGTAAAAATTCATAATTCCTGTATGGAACCGAAACAAGTGCCTAAATGCCTACTATCGTCTCTAAAAACTATAACAATTAAGCAACAAGGTTTTGAAGAGCATGAACTTGACCTGGTGCGTTATCTTTTGAGAAATTCTCAAGTACTTGAGAGAATGGAAATATTACCCCGAAAAGTCAGATCAACTTCGTCTTCGAGTGGTTTTCTTAAAAATGATCTCACTGCAGCATTCAAAGCGTTTGAGAGAATTTCGTTGTTTGAGCCAGGATCCAAGGCATGTCAGCTTGCCTTCTTTTCAGATTGTGGAGTGATTGAGATTGTTGAGTGATTGGACTGAACAGGTTCTCGGCAGTGATCTTAGGTTATTATTCTTAGTATCTATATTTAACAACTGAATGTTCCTTTGGTGCGTAATAACTCTTTTTTCACTTGTATGACAAGATTGAATTTTTGTGATGATTCAAGAACTTGTTAGTATATATGATGTGGAAGTGCGTCAAATTTACATTCGTTCATAAGAGTAAAGCAAATGTTGGTGTTTACAGTCGAGCGTGTATATATATCCCTATCAAGAACTTGTTTTGTATTCTCAACTTTATTTCGTCATCTGTTTGTGAAAGTTGTTTTCATGTTTGAACTGTATTAGGAAGCTTATGCTGTTCCCAGACAAATACTTGATGGAGAATAAAAATGCACAACTCCTCAGCTAAATTCAATATGGGACAAAGGGAGTCGGGAATTGCTTCAGGGTTTTCCAAAAAGAACTAATTTGTTCTTTGCTCTGAAAAAAAAAAGCACTATTTCAACAGACATACCCAACTCAACTCTAACCTTTTGGAGGTCATTTTATCGAACTTCCTAAGGTTAAAAATTTAAGTGCAACTATTTAAATATTAACGTCACAGCATTTAGTTTTGAATATTCTTACATAACTTTAATGTAACTACATTAATTAAACAAAATAAAATAGAAGATGGAGGTTTTTGTGGGCCCGTGTTCTCTGTCTGGACTTCGGAACATAAGATTTCACCGGCAAGACCCAACATTTGGACATCATCTACTGTATTTTTCTTAAACATGAGGTGAAATGCCTGGAATATTTTTAGGATGGCCTAACTGTCAACAGACATAACATTCGGTGTCTCGAGTTTAATAAACGAGATGGGTGTTTGTTGCCTGACCCATTTCACGTGGAGTTTTGCTGTAATGCGTTGTTTGGTTTGGTTTACAGGCAACTGTCACTTGACTTGCTAAATGGGGCATTTGGGGGCTTCAACGTGAACTTTGGTAATTTGAGTCATTTGACCCAACTCGAACTCATTTTGGCTGTCGAATGGCCAATTCTTGTGAAGATTCTTGAAATTGCTGATAATATTCCTGAGGCCCTTATTGTAAGTTACTTATTGGTGCAGTTTAATTGATTTTGAGCTTTGTCTTCTTTTCTTGCTAATTATTGGTGCAGTTGAATTAATTTGAGCATGTGGCTCTATCATATGTTTCAGAATTGTTTTGGTTTATGTGTAGGGGTTAGGTGTAGATGACGAATATGATTAGTAGTTACGATAAAACTAATGGCTGTGATATATAGTAGAGACGAATCACTATTTTCTTTATAATTTCGTATGGTCACGATCTACTCAAATTCTGAAATTATATGATGAAAAAAACGATTGTCCTAGAGAACGATTGTCCTAGAGAACGATCTACTCAAATTCTCTGAGAACTAATATGTTGATTGTTCTTGTTGTTGTTGTGCTGCCTTCTATTTTTTCAATTAAAGAAATCCGTTAAACGAATGAAACCACCTGGTTTTTATGTTGTTCGACTTTCTGTTTTCTGCACAGATACAATGACCATTGTTCTGCCCCAGATCACCGTCAAGATCTGCAAAAATATGCCGACCAATTGCTGGAAAGTGTTGTTTCTTGATTCCATCTAGTATCCTGTTCGTTTGTGCATTTGTGCAGTATGAGATCAAGAAACAGTTCATGGATGTGCTTGATAATATGGAATTTTCAATATCATTCTGAGAATGTCAGCGATGATAAGGAAAAGGGTACGTCTCGTTAAACCAGGATTTGTGATGCCGTATTTCAAGTTTCAACCAGTTGGCAGTTAAGATATGACCTGTGAGCCTGTGGTTTAATTTTTTCATCATATATTTCAGAATTGTTTTGGTTTATGAGTTGATGCTAGTTGTAGATGATGGATTCGGTTAATAGTTAAGATAAAAGTATGGTTCGGATATATGGTATAGATTTTGATTACTATGGTCTTTATAATTTCTTATGGTCCTTTTGAATAATTAAAATCAGTTTGGAAAATATCGCTTGTCCTTGAGAACGTTCGACTTATCTTCTGAGATTTCCTCTACCAGTTGCGTTCATTTTTAACTTGTAGATACTGATATGGTGATCATATTGCACGATTTGTCTGTATTTGTTCGATAGATACAACACTCCTCTACTACGATTCTTCTCTCGTTTTGTGACCATATCAGACAATGCAATACTAC